AGTATGTGACATCTCAATATTTGAAAATTTTTAAATTATTAAAAACAACACTGGCCTCTTATTAATTAGAGATGACTTTTGAATGAACCTTTTTTTCTTCCTCTAATTAGAACATATTTTATTATATAATAATTGTCTAAATTATTGGAAAGCGTGTCAAACTTGCTATACAATTAATATATTAAATCTTGAGAATTAATTTAATTAATTAATTGAATAAAATTATCAGAGTATTAATATATAACTCAATAAAATCGTAGACCGTATAATATTATTGGTAATAAAAATAGATATACCCAACCTTTTAATTAATTTTAACATGCATATGATTAATTTGTATACCACATTACAATTTGATCAAAAATTGAATATAAAGACCAACCAGGATTGTGGTGGAGTGATAAGTATTTCTTCATCCTTAATCAAGAGGTTTTGGGTTTGAGTCGCCTTTGTTAGGGAGCGTTTTACCCCCAAATCTCAATGTGGAACTTCCTAGCATGAATCCGAATTAAGTCAGATTCTAATATGGGTGTCAAAAAAAAAATTTGAACATAACGTGAAATGTCAACTCTTCGGGATTAATTTGCAAAATTAATGACCACCTCCACCCCCACCCACCCCAACACCCTTTGAGCTCTTAATTTTCTGTATAAATTAACTATCATAGGGAATTATTTACCAATACTGATTTATTCTCAATGGCAATATTTCATATATGCTCAAACAATATGTTTATCTTTACATTATGGATTTTCTCTATGCTTTCAATTACTGCCAATTCTCATCCAAATGTAAGTATAGTTTTCTCTATTATATAAGTTGTCCATAATATAGTTGTAGATAGCTTAGTCTTATATGATCGAATGTTTTATTTGTTATCGACGATATTACACTAAGTACTTTGAATAAACCTGAATAAATATAGAATACATTAACTCTTATTATACCTTTTCTCACGATATTACTAGTCTCCGGACACTTATTTGTTATTATCTTCTAATGATATAAACAGTTTGTTGCAAGTGAAATTAGAATTCATAAATTTTAAATATTGAATTAACCGCTTTGGATATATAGTAGTTACCTATAGTTATCAACAATATTAAAATCTGACACTGACAAAAATTTTATTGTATTGTCGGTATAATAATTTTCACATGTTATAACAAATAACTTGCCTTATTTTATTTTCATATTTAGTGGCATAACAAGAAGCATCACCCATTAGGAAATTGGATAAACCATGGTGGTGATTTGTACAATCAAAGATATGCCTATGGAGAAAATAAAATTAGTCCTAAGAGTGCTTCAAAGCTGAGGTTAAAATGGGAATTTAAAGCTGGAAAAGATATAACAGCGACTCCAACAATATTTGATGGAATATTATATTTTCCAAGTTGGAATGGTAATATATACGCAGTTCGAGCTGAAGATGGAGTTGTTATTTGGAAAAAAAGTTTGCATGAATTGACTGGAATTAGTGGGAGTTTTAATGCATCCTTATTGCCTAATGTGACAAGTATAGTGGCTAGGGCAACACCAAGTGTTGTGTTTGATAGGGATTTGTTGATTGTTGGTGTTTATGGACCAAGTTTGGTACTTGGATTGAAAAGAAGTAATGGAAATCTTGTTTGGAGTACAAGATTGGATCATCATCCTACTAGTGTTGTTACTATGTCTGGGACTTACTACAAGGGGTAAGTTTACTATACCTACCCCTAACCTTTTTTTCCAGTCTAATGTTCGGTATTTGACTTGGGGTTCATGTTATTAAAAATTGTTAACTTTGGGATTCGTCTTCTTATCAAGAAAATAATCTTTTAGATGTTGATATCGAAGATTAGAATAAAAGATTTAGTAAATAGTTAAATTTTATCCAGTCTTCTTTATGAGTATTGTTTTTGTTACGCACATACTATTTTGTTCTTCATTTTATTGTAATTTCTTTCGCTTGGGTTATCATATTGCTGTTGCTACTTAAGCACAGCTTATCGGAAGAGTTTCTCTACCTTCTGAACTTGCTTACATACCATCTCCTTTCAAACATTATTTGTGAAATTACATTGTTATTCTATTTTTGTTGTTGTTATATATTATATTATATAGTTTTTATAATACATTAAAATCCATGCAAATTTGCAGAGCTTTTTACATCGGAACTTCATCGCTAGAAGAAGGAGCTGAAATCGATAAATGTTGCTACTTCCGCGGTAGCTTCCTCAAGTTAGATATCGATACAGGCAAAATTCTATGGAAGACTTTTATGCTGCCGGAGAACGGCGGAAAAACCGGCGGTTATTCTGGCGCTGCCGTATGGGGAAGCAGTCCATCCATCGATTCCCAGCGAAACCACGTATACATCGCTACCGGAAACCTCTACTCTGTCCCCAAACGCATCGCGGATTGCCAAAAGGAGCAGAATCAACAGAACCATACAGATCCGACCCAACCCGATAAATGCATCGAGCCGGAGAATCACTCCGACTCGATTTTGGCATTGGATCTGGATTCCGGTGAGATCGAATGGTATAACCAGCTTGGAGGATATGATGTGTGGTTTGTTGCGTGTATGAATTCGACAAACCCTAATTGCCCGATTGGCCCGAGCCCAGATTATGATTTTGGGGAAGCTCCGATGATGCTTAGCGTGGTTGTTAATGGGAGGAAGAAGGTAGACATTGTAGCAGCTGTGCAGAAGAGTGGAATTGCTTGGGCATTGAAGCGTGACAGTGGCAAACTCTTTTGGACTACCGTAAGTGAAGAATAATTTTTTATCAGTTTGCGTGTACTTTGACTATTTTTCATATAGTTGCACATATCTAGTTGATAACTGTAACAAATATTTTTTAATCAATTTTGTTCACACCTCAACTATTCCACGCAATACCTTCTATACCATCAATTTTTTTAATGTGTTTGTGGTTGGGAACCTTAATAGATAGATAGGGAGGTTAGAAGATTAGTAATTATCATTGTCTAGTTTACTTATCAGTATATGTTTGTTTTTTTGCTTCAATTATCGTATTATTTGTTGTTGTTGCTTTTTTTTCTTCTTGATTGATTTCAACTGGCTTCTTCGCTGCTGTATTTGCTTTATGAACTTGATGTGTGACATGCTTACACAAGCCAAGGGTCAATAATCAGAATTAGTGTGGTAAAGTTTATCCTCCCCAAACCACTTGTGGAATTATAATAGATATGTTGTGTTAGTCGTTAGACTCTAGAAATCGCTAAGAGAATGGTAGATAACAGAATTGCTAGAAAGAATTGTGTTGCAGAGAATTTTGATTAATTTTTGCTGGAATAATTTACCAAATGTCTCTCTATTTATACCACGCTCATCTAGGAGCTAAAGTATAAATAATAATTTCTACATAAGTCTCTATATATTTACATTTAGGTCCCTTCGATCTAGAACTCTCTACATGTCCCTAGAGTAACTTTCTATGCATTCGAAATCTTCATATTTCTCTAGAATCGTCCATAAGGACTAGTCTTTTTCGTAAGCCCTCCACATCAACAACTTTGTGTCATGTGACAGTCATATGATCCTTGTGTGGCATGATGATGTGATGGGTCGTCACACTTTTATAAGGAGATTGATTATCTACTATTATATATATTTTGATTTCTAAAAATAGGACAATGTAACACTGAAGGAAATGGGGTTGATGTGTGCAGGAGGCTGGTCCTGGAGGTATAGGAGGAGGAGGTATATGGGGTGCAGCCACAGACACAAAGAGGGTATACACTGGCATTGCCAACACCGGTAACTTAAACTACACATTGTATCCATCGACGAACATTACAACAGGTGGAGCCTGGGTGGCAATGGATGCTCAAACCGGCAAAATCCTATGGACAACTGCAGTTCCAAACAATGGTAGATCAAATCCTGTTACTGTTGCCAATGGAGTTGTGTTAGCTGGTTCACAAAATCCAAGAGGCCCCATCTACGCTATTAACGCGAAAACTGGAAAGATATTGTGGTCGAACGAGACTGGTGCAACTGTGTATGGGGGTATGTCAGTGAGCAATGGTTGCTTTTATGTTGGCCATGGTTATAGATCTGGTATTGGAGTCTTTAATCCCAATAACACTGGTGGAACTTCACTCTTTGCCTATTGTGTATATTGAAATGCCAAATGATATGTCTCACTTATAGCTTTGGCAAATCATATTAATTTGATAAAGATATATAGTAAATAAAGAAGTACATGTTTGTGGTATCCGAGTCAGTTTGCTTTATGCTTACTTACCTTGACTTATTCCATTAAATATTTTGCTACCTCTCATCAACACAAGCATCAAACGAATAGTGCTCAAATGAGACATGAAACATTACTTTTGCATCTAACATTCAAAATTCATTTGGCACTATTAAGGCTCAAACAGTATTGTCAATATGAGTAAAAAAATAATATATCAACTAATCAAATCTCTTGATGAAACATTTGTAAAACACAATCAAATTAAAGCGTGTGACATCTCAATATTTGAAAATTTTAAATTATCAAATAGAGTATGCTTTTATTTAATTAATTACATATGCGACTGACAATTTGAATGAACCTTTTTTCTTCCAGTAATTATAACATATATATAATAATTTGTCTAAATTATTGGCAAGCGTGTCAAACTTGCTATACAATTAGTATATTAAATCTTGAGAATTAATTTGATTAATTAATTGAATAAAATTATTAGAGGATTAATATATATAACTAAATAAAATCGTAGACCATATAATATTATTGGTAAAAGTAGATATATATATATATATACGCAACCTTTTAATTAATTTTAACATGCATATGATTAATTTGTACACGACTTACAAGTTAATCAAATACACTGAATAAAAAATGAAAAGTCAACTCTTTTGGATTTAATTTAAAAAATAAACACACACACCCCCACCCAATTGAGCTCTTATATTTTTCTATATATACAAATATAAATTTAAGGGAACCAATACTCATTTATTTTCCCCATGGCAATATTCCATCAATGTTCCAACAATATGTTTCTATTTATATTATGGATTTTCTCCATGCTTTCAATTAGTGCCAATTCTCATCAAAATGTAAGTGTATCTTTTCTCTATACATCATTTAACCCTTATAGTGTCGGTATACTTTCAACATGTCGTAACAAATAACTTGTCTTATTTTATTTTATTTTCATATTTAGTGGCATAACAAGAAGCATCACACATTAGGAAATTGGATAAACCATGGTGGTGATTTGTACAATCAAAGATATGCTTATGGAGAAAAGAAAATTAGCCCTATGAGTGCTTCAAAGTTGAGGTTAAAATGGGAATTTAAAGCTGGAAAAGATATAACGGCGACTCCAGCAATATTTAATGGAATATTATATTTTCCTAGTTGGAATGGCAATATATACGCAGTTAGAGGTGAAGATGGAGTTGTCGTTTGGAAAAAAAGTTTGAAAGAGTTGACTGGAATTAATGGGAGTTTTAATTCATCTTCATTGCCTAATGTGACAAGTATAGTGGCTAGAGCAACACCAAGTGTTGTGTTTGATAAGGATTTGTTGATTGTTGGTGTTTATGGACCAAGTTTGGTACTTGGATTGAAAAGAAGTAATGGAAATCTTGTTTGGAGTACAAAATTGGATCATCATCCTGCTAGTGTTGTTACTATGTCTGGGACTTACTACAAGGGGTAAGTTTACTATACCCCTAACCCTTTTTTTTTCAGTCTGATGTTCGGTATCTGACTTGGGGTTCATGTTATTAAAAATCGTTAACTTTAGGATTCGTCTTCTTATCAAGAAAATAATCTTCTGATCGTTAGTATTGTTTTCTTCTATTGAGAATTAGTTAAGTTATCTATAATAACATGTTAAATTTAGAATCTACTTTTAGAAGTAATTGTTATTTTAGTCAACGTCAAAGTTAGACATGTGCAATTCCTCGTAAAGTCAAATTAGGCCATCATGTCACAACTTACATTTCAAACTATAATAATCTTTCGATATTAATTAGATTATGTGTTGTTGCTACTATTATGTTCCACGTGTGACTGATCTGCTATATTTTTCTTTTCATATTTGATTTTAGTATACTTAAATGGAGTTACGATATCTATCAGAAATAATATTTTTGCGTTAAAAGTTAAACATAAGATTATGTATTTATCATTATCCTCAAATCGCACTTGTGTTTTTATAGTTCAATAAAATCCATGCAAATTTCCATTTTTGCAGAGCTTTTTACGTCGGAACTTCATCGCTAGAAGAAGGAGCTGAAATCGATAAATGCTGTTACTTTCGCGGTAGCTTCCTCAAGTTAGATGTCGAAACCGGAAAAATTCTATGGAAAACCTTCATGTTGCCGGAGAACGGCGGAAAAATCGGTGGTTATTCCGGCGCTGCCGTATGGGGAAGTAGCCCATCCATCGATTCCCGGCGAAATCATGTCTATATCGCTACCGGAAACCTCTACTCCGTTCCCAAACGCATTGAGGATTGCCAAAAGGAGCAGAATCAACAGAACCATACAGATCCGACCCAACCTGATAAGTGCATCGAGCCGGAGAACCATTCCGACTCGATTATGGCATTGGATCTGGATTCCGGTGAGATCGAATGGTATAAACAGCTTGGAGGATATGATGTGTGGTTTGTTGCGTGTGCGAATTCGACGAACCCTAATTGCCCGATTGGCCCAAGCCCGGATTATGATTTTGGGGAAGCTCCGATGATGCTTAGCGTGGTTGTTAATGGAAGGAAGAAGGAAGACATTGTAGCAGCTGTGCAGAAGAGTGGAATTGCTTGGGCATTGAAGCGTGACAATGGCAAACTCTTCTGGACTACGGTAAGTGAAGAACAATTTGTATCTATCAACTTGCGTGTACTTCGACTATTTCATTATAAGCATAGTTGTGTGATATCTAGTTGATAACTATAACAAATGTTTCTTCTTAATCAATTCGTTCACACTTCAACTATTTCACGTGATACCTTCTATACCATTATTCCACCCTCATAGCATATTCAAGTGTTTAGGTGATAATCATAACAACAATTTCATTCAGTGACGGTGGCTAACAGAATCTAAATAGAAGTCGAGAATTAGGGTAAAAGGTTAGTAGTTGTCAAACTTGGTCTAATTTACTTGTGAGTATCGTAATATTTGTGGTTGTTGCTTGTTCTCTTCTTGATTATTTTCAACACAGTTTCTTCAGTACTGTATTTGCTTTATGAACTTGATTTCCGACATGCCTACACAAGCCGAGGATCTATTAGAAACAACCTCTCTACCTTCACAACACATGGGTCAGACTGCAATAGAGATGATGTTGTGTTGTCCATAATAAACTTGCACACGTCTAGACTATTTCACCTTATACTTGCTATCTTTGACCAACATAAGTATCAAGTAACTTTGTCACTAAGTCTCATACAAATGAAACGAAGTCACCTAATATTTTGTGTTATCATTGAGCTTTGAACTTTAGTTTAGCCCTTGTGGTTCTCTTCCAAGTTCATTAACTACTAGATTACATCCTTGGGTGCGATAACTGTGCTACATTTAAGGGGGTTATCTACTATATTTTGGTTTCTAAAAATAGGACAATGTAACTCTGAAGAAAATGTGATTGATGAGTGCAGGAGGCTGGTCCTGGAGGTGTAGGAGGAGGTGGTATATGGGGAGCAGCCACAGACACAAAGATAGTATACACTGGCATTGCCAATAGCGGTAACTTAAACTACACATTGTATCCATCGACAAACATTACAACAGGTGGAGCCTGGGTGGCAATGGATGCTCAAACCGGCGAAATCCTATGGACAACTGCAGTTCCAAACAATGGTAGATCAAACCCTGTAACTGTTGCCAATGGAGTTCTGTTAGCTGGTTCACAAAATCCAAGAGGCCCCATCTACGCCATTAGCGCGAAAACTGGGAAGATATTATGGTCAAACGAGACTGGTGCAACTGTGTTTGGGGGTATGTCAGTTAGCAATGGCTGCTTTTATGTTGGCCATGGTTATAGATCTGGTATTGGAGTCTTTAATCCCAACAACACTGGTGGAACTTCACTCTTTGCCTACTGTGTATATTGAAATGCCAAATGATGTCCCACTTATAACTTTGGCAAATAATATGATGAAGATGGTAAATAAAGTACATGTTTGTGTTGCTAATTGTGTGGTATCCGAGTCAGTTTGCTTTATGCTCACCTTAAAAAAGCAGTCCAAAGTATGACTCCCTCTTATTGACCAGGCCAACTCCTTTACTAGTTATTTCTCCAAAATCATAGATGACTTATTCCGTCAAATACTTGCTACCTCTCATCAACACAAGTATCAAACAGAATATCTTAAAGATAGTGAAAATAACTTAAAATGAACTCAAATGAGAGATGAAACATACTTTGGCTCTAACAATCAAAATTCATTTGGCATCATTAAGACTCAACATTACTGTCAATATGAGTAAAAAGTAATGAGTTCTTTCAAATTAATATCTTAAAGCTTAAATCTTAGACATTGCAAAAAAAAAACACAATTCTCCATTGCCTAGCAACTCTGAAAAGCATAAATCCTTCTTCACAGATCTTGCACGCTCAAACCTACAAGTAGTAATGTAATGCAACAGTTAAGTTCAATTAAAAAAAATGTTCCATTACAGAGCTTGAGTGTGTTAAATCAAGCCGGAGAGCTTAGAATTAATTAAGACACAGACGTATACACATAACAGAGAATATCACCATAATTGGCAAAAAGTAGCAGTCAAAGAGTGCAAACCTGGAGGAAGTGATTGCTTCAACTTGTCAGCCTTCTCAAAGTCAGACACACAGAGTGTGTAGAGGTACTTGGAGCAGCGAACCTTGAACTTGACCATATCCTTGTTCTTCTTGATCTTGACAGTTCGGGCATCCTTCCTTCTGGCTGTCAGAAGGAAATCCTTGATCTCGTGGATTTGCTTAGGCTACAAATAAATACAATGTAAACACTCATTACGGCAAATTGAATAATACTGAACAAAAACAGATCACAAAGAAGTCATTAACAGGCCCAAATACAGTATCAACTAATCAAATCTCCTGATGGAACATTTGTTGAACACACTTAAGCATTTAACTGAAAATTAACAGAAAACAAGAAATCACATCAATCAGATAATTACACCCAGAGGATGGAACAAAACGACAAGAGAAAGATTCCCATCCCCAAAAATGAAGATGTTACACATATACACATCACAAAGGAGCTCAATAAGTGGGCAAGATAATACTAAGGTAATAACTAAAGAAAACTCGCCACTACGGTGAAATTGAGTAACAGAATGAAATTGGGATAGAGCAGAACAGATAAAGAGGTCAAATCCAACTAGTTTGATGGATTTATACCATCTAAACTCCCCAGACAAATGAAAGAAACACAAACTACTAACAATATGAATGCATCCATATCATTAACTTGTTTCCCAAGTGCAGCCAACAGAGTGCTTCTCCTCGATACATTATATGAATAACAATCTTAACGAGATTCTTGATTTCAGACATCAAACTTTAAATAAAATGGGCAAACTTTCTTGCTCCATATAAGATCTAACGTTTCTCCTATATAATCAAACATAGTAACACATCCCGCAAAAGTCTTCTGTATCTTAATCAACTGTCGACCCCAAATCAATTCAACTTATGCTGGTCTAAAAGTGTTCAATTTCTTTCCTTTTATCTTCTAAATAACAAACTAACACCATTGATTTCAAAACTAAAACGTCCAATAAACTGTTCAGACTTGTTCAAGATAAAGACTCTTTACAAGTCGGCATTGTTAAACAAAGATGACATAATACAGAACAACAATCATAGTATTGAGTTTGAAACTTCAAATTATTGATTCCTAAACTGAATCTTCCATTAAAATAGCCAAACATGCACCAAAATAACTCAAATACTTACACTACCAGTTTGACATTATAGCATTTCCTTCCAAAAAAATTTACCTCAATAAACATGTCTAAATTTTTACCTTTTCAACAAAAAAAAAACACCCAAACTGAAGGAACCCACAAAACAAAGATTAATACAGATCCAACTCTCATGGTTTGTAGTTTGAAACTTCAAAATTCAAGTCAAAATATTATAAACCAAAACTAGAACTTCCAATTAAATAACCAAATTTGTCCCAAAATACAATCTTGGAGCAACCCCACCAAAGTTAATAGGATGAAGCACTACTATTCACACTAATTCCTCCAAAAACCTCCATCTTTATCTCAAAAAAACATCAACTTTACACCTAAATTTTTTACCTTTACATAAAAATGGAACAAGAAAAACCCCAAATAGAAGAAACCCACAAAATAAAGATTCATTACAAGCCAGAATCATTAAAAACAAAGATAACATAACACAGATCTAATTAACCATCATAGCATTTAACTCAAAACATCAAATTCAAGTAAAAATATTGTAAAACAAAGATAATAATACAAAGAATTGATATATCAGAGATCAAAATGAGAAGATTAAGAAGAAATTGTACCATTTTTGGTAGGGAAAAGTAGTGCTAAGGAGAAGAAGACGGCGAGCTCAAAGAGATGGAGAAAAGAAGAAGTGAAGAGAAAGATGTATAAATATATGCTTTTGCTAAAACCCTAATCACTTTAAAAAATTATTATTCTTTTTTTTAATAAAATGGATAAATTAATATTAGTATTAAATATTAGTTCAACTTCAAACTTAAAATATCTATTTTTTAGTTTATTATTTCAATTTCAAACTCGAAATACGGATTTGATTAGTATTTTCCTAAAAAACTTCAAATTTTTTCTAAGTGAAATTCACGTATAAGCATAAATTGACTTTCCAATATTTTTTTAAACTTCAATTTCAAATATTATTTTGTTTTTCTTTTAAAAAAATGTGCCTAGTAATTGCTTTGGGGTATGTTTAATCTGAATTGACGTTGAGAAGTCCCACTTTAGAAGACAAAATGTTTTTGATCAAAGGTAAATTTGTATTCAAAGCTCGAATTCGAACTCAAATCTGAACCATTTAATTTAGGAGGAAGGAGTACTTATTATTCTATCACAATCTTGGTATTTTTGTTTTTCTAATTCAACTTATAGTAAATATAATCCAAATGCTTTTTTCGAGTCTAATTAAAGCGAAACCGTACGAATTTTTGTATATGCGTTAAAAAGATCCCCTATATAAGTTCAAAAATAATATAATTCAAACATAATATATTAGATTATGATAGAATTCCGAACTCAAACTACAATAAATTGTTTTACTCTATGGCTATTACTTTGATTATGGAAAGCCACAATATTTGTGATATTAGCTCAATTGGTTGGCAATCTGTTCTTTCACCTTATTTGTGAAGGTTCGATGACGCCTTGTAATGCATACATATTTGGTTAAGGGTATTAACACCACCACATTTCACATGTTATTGCAAAACAACAAGAGAAGGACAATAACTATGTCAAATATTCTGAGTAAGTTGAACTCGACTATATGAATCATAATTATCCATATATCTCCATTTAAATCCGTCTCACATTGAAGTTCTCTATATTTTCTATTGACATATAAGTCTCTAACAAACATTTCTGCTGCTGCAACATCAATTCCTTTCCTTACTCTTCAATTCTTTCAACATATTACAGAGGGTAGTTTCACCAAAAGAATACAGATGATCATACTTCCTGTACAACAATCTCGCTTCTTGCGCATTCTCTTTAACAAACAAACATATACTGAGAGTTCCGAATGATGTAGCAGTTGACGGATATGCTATTGGAAAATCTCCGACCTGATTACTGTGTGTCGAAGGCAACTGCATATTGTCTTGAAGTAATAGAAATGATATCTGTATATTTGTTGTTAGTTGCCTTCGTTTTGAAGCAACGATCTTGGACTAAGATTTACACTTACTACTGATGGAGATCGCGTTATGAATATTCACGTGAAGTAGGGAAGCTCAGTCCGTCTTTTATATGGGACACCGCGGTGGGGCATAACCATTTTAACATATTCGGACCTAATACCTGTTAAATATCAATAGGTCAACACAGAATGCAACTTCATTACAATTTATGTAAGAGAGAGCGAGAGAGGGAGGAAGAGAGACGGTACCAGACTGATATTTTTATAAGCACCAACATCATAAGGGTGATGATAATTCGTCCCAGATTTACTTGCCAGCCATGCTGCTCGTTTTGCCTCGTAGTACTGTTAAAGAATCTTTGCTTAGCAATTACATCAATAGGGAAATCCATGAGGTGAATCTAGTGTATTCGACAGTGTGATTACCTCTATAGTTGTCATATTACGCATTGTAAGGTAGATATGCCAGCCCAGGAGAGTTCCAAGTGTCAAGCTTAAGCCAATAAGCACAACACCAGTTGCAATCTGTTTAAGAATGATACATTAGATTTCTGCAACCACCTGGAATTCACTCTACCACACTATACGGGAAAGCGAGAGTAAAAGCTCTTAAATGATTTGGTTAAGCTCATTTCAAGGCATTATTTTGAACTCACCCCGTTGGAAAAAGTAATAACTAATATCAAGTAGAGGAAGACCAGAAGGAGGAAATATGATGTCCACTTGAAAATAAAATAACTTATTGGAAATATTTTTCTGTGCTGCTCAGACCCTCCATCCGTATCAGATTATCCAAAAATACATAGCTGTTGGAGGATCCGATACACACCCGACAATAACTTTTGAAGAGTGTAAGGACCATAGATATTTTTAGGTCAGGATATTGCTGATGGTGGACCTAGCAGCTAGCATAACAATCTGGTAATGGTCAAGAATCACAGTATATGCGACTAATGGAGAAAGGGTCATATGCTCCCTAATCTCTAGAAGGCGAAACGCTGAACTTCAATCAATATAACCAAATACTGGAAATATCTTCTTGAAGAAACAATTAGGAAAACATTTCCAGTCATACCAAACACACACTAAAGAACAATCAATAAGCTTTAGATAAACCATCACCCAAAAAAAAAAAAAGGGAAAGAAAAGGCCAAAACTCAATACAATAGACATCGAACGTGTTAAATTGTATATAATATGACAACTGACTCACATAAAATAGCTTGAGATGCATCACTCCATCGAAATTCCAATCCTTATGAATTGCATCGCTCACCAATATAACCTGAAAACGTC